ACTGCAAAATATCAAACACTCGATCTTGGGAGGGGCCCCTTAACCCCCCCCCCCCCGTCCTCCCCTCCTGTACCAGGGTGAGGGTATGACTTTGCGTTTAAGTCCGAGGGTTAAGTTGAATTTTGGAGAAAATTGTTTGTATGGGAATTTAGTTTCCCCAAATATTCTCCAGTCATGCACTTTTTGTTTTCTGCAATTACTTGCTTTATGTATTAGTATGACCAGTATCTTGGTATGACAAAGTATTATTAAACTTAAACTAAAACTTAAACACAGGACACTATTAGCCTAGTTTTCTTGGTTAGATGTTAAAAATGGTTTAATTTCGCTTAAGAAAGTCATAAAGGTGGTTTGAATCCGGACACAAACAATAACTTATTTAAGGGAAATCATTTTAATAGTTGGGCCAAAAATTAGACTCATAGAGAAACGGAGCTTGATACAAATTCAATTTCGCAACCTGAATTCTGTCAAACTATCCAAAAATAATCGTGAATACTAGTATACTTGTATGCTGAACTTCAGTTGAGGAGTTTTTGGTTAATAAAGGGAAAGTGACTATGCAATAAGAACACTCTTTAGAAATAATAACAAAAGTAGTCAGCTGATGCTCATGCGCATTTACATACCATTTCTTAGTTGCTTTAGGAACAGGTTTTTAGTAAAGAATCGAAATTCCAGGTTCCCAAGCCTAGGTTTCAACCTCGTTCCCAGGATCCTCTACTACTGGGACGAGATTGGCTTCGGTAATTAGTTAACCTGTGTGCTGACACCCCCTCCCCTAAAAAGCGGGATTTTCGATTTGAAAGTAGGGATTTTTGGAACTTGGAAATGGCAACTTCTTAAAGCTCAGTTCTACTGTAGTCGAACTAGAACTCTAGAACTCCGGTCATGCCCTTTAAGTGAATTTCTTGAAATCCTTCTAGTTGTGGGTAAACAACCATATGGCAGTAGTTTGCGTGACATGAAGCTGTAAGCGAAACCAAATCTCGTTTATCAAACGCCCACAATACATAGGTCAGATTTTATAACAACATTAATTCATCCGGATAGCTCTTTATGAGTCTAAGATCCCGTGTGAAATACCTCCATGGAATTCCATGGAAATCCATGGATTTCCATGGAAAATTCTCCATGGAATTCCATGGAGGATTAGGACATCAATTTCCATGGAATTCCATGGAAATTTCTCCATAGATTTCCATGGAAGATATTTGCATGGAGGATTAGGACATTTCCCATGGAATTCCATGGACAACATTAGGGCACCAATTTCCATGGGATTCCATGGAAATTTGTGCATCGACATTTTCCATGGAGGATTAGGACATTTTCTATGGAATTCCATGGAAAAGTTCCATGCAATTCCATAGAAACTACTCCACCGATTATTCCATGGAGTTTCATGGAATTCACAGGAATTAGACATGTAAAATATCCAGTGAATCAAATGGAATACATAACAGATTTTGGTCCACTGCAATTTATTTAATCAATTTAAAGACATCAATCAAAACTTAACATGTTTTTGGAGGAAAATTTGACATACTGTAGCTTAACAAATTAATGTTTACTTGTGACTATATACATTGCAGTTTAGAATGCAGCAATCATATTGAAGTAGCTTAAATGAAAAATTTAGATTTAATATAAAGCAAGGAATCTTGGCCTGGTGTTTAAGAAAAGTAACAGGCGAACAGATGCATAATTGAGAGAAAAAAATAAGCTAATACTTGAATGCATAAACCGTCAGTATGTAAGACTTAAACATGGCTTTATTTAATGCGACGAAAAAGGGAACCGCTACTTATTTCCTCGATCAGAACCATGGTATTTAGTTATAGCAAAGTCCTACCTAATCCTTGGGAAAAAACGGCGACAACCACAATTATAATTTATCAGTCTCTTGCATAGTTTTTACGTAGCAGGCATGAAAATTCTAAATATGATATTTCTTCTTATGCATCGAAGCAGTCCATCGAAGTACAGTCTTCGATTTCTAATTCTGCCAGAAGTAGTAATTATTCCAAAGGATTCCAAAGGCAATTTGCAGGAAAGACCACATTCATATCTGTATAAACAAA